AAAGTTTATTCTCATAAGAAAAAAGTCAATACAGAATTATTCTTCTGTCAGCTTTTCAGAAATGGATTAAGATGAAAAGTAAGCAAAAAAAAAAAAGAATAAAGACAATTTTAAAGGCAAGAATTATTCAGTCTAAATGTGCTAAATATATAAGTAGAACAATGCAAAATTATGTAAACACGTGGAAAACTTTTAAAGAAATGCGGAAAGCAAAGAATACAGACAACTACAGATACTGTTACCACAGATGACCATCTGTTAAAAGAGCTGAGAATTATAAACAGATACTCCATAGTAGCCAAGGTTATGAAAGTGTATGTTGTAGCAAGAAAATAGGAAAGACACTAATACCTGCAAGGGAGCCCATGAAAATACAGAAATCTCATCTCATTCAAATTCTACGTTAAGCATTACCCAGTTTTTACCTTCTTTTCTAGAAATGGCTATATCTTAAGAGACAGATCCTATGTTTTCCAAAGTGAAACCACAAATCAATTTCACATTTGCAAAGTAGCTTTAAAAATTTTCCCAGACCAAACCTTGAAAGTATTAGGCTAAGTGAAATAAGCCAGTTAGAGAAGGAAAAATATTCTATAATTCCACCTGTATATGAAGTAGTTAAAATAGTCAAATTCATAGACAAAGAAAGTAGAACAGTGGTTAGTTCCCAGAGGCTGGGAAGAAGGGGAATAGGAAATTACTGTTTAATGGGTACAGAGTTTCAGTTTGGGATGATGAAAAAGTTCTGGAGGTAGATGGTGGCAATGGTTACATAACAGTGTAAACGTCCTTAATGACAATGGACTATATACACTTAAAATGGTTAAAATGGTAAGCTTTATGTCATGTATATTTTCCCATAATTTTAAAGTAATATTTTTGAAAAATTCCAAGACCAGAGTATAATAAAAAAATCCTACTATCCCAGTCATCTCTGTATATAAAAACATCATCTATAATCCTTCAAACTCACCCTGTTAAAGAACAGGGGAAAAAAACGGAATATTATTCAGACTTAAAAAGGAAATTCTGATACATGCTACAACATGGATACGACTTGAGGATATTATGCTGAGTAAAATAAGCTAATTAGAAAAAGACAAATATTGTATGATTCCACTTATATGAAGTCCAAATCATAGAGCAGAAAGTAGAATGGTGGTTACCAGGAACTAGAGAGAGAGGAAAATGGGGAGGTATTGCTTAATGGGTATAGAGTTTCAGTTTTGTAACTGAAAAAGTTATACAGATACATTGTACAACAATGTGAATATACTTAACACTACTAAACTGTACACTTAAAAATGTTTAAGATGGTAAATTTTGCTACATATTTTTACTACAATAAAAAATTAAAATAAATAAGAAATGCAAAATGCCTGTTTCTTACTTCCTCAAGGTTATCACGTGTCCATGATCTAAAAATATAAAATCAAGAACCACACAGAGAATAAGCTGCAAAGCAGTCTATAACGTTTATAGCTGCTTGCCCCCAACAAGCAAGTCATAATTTGACTCTAACATGTAACATAACCAAGAATTGTGAAAACATCCAACGAAAGACTACAACTTTAAAGGGCCACTTTCAAGTAGCTACACAAGCCCTTTTATTTTGTTCAAGTCAGTTTTAGAAAAATCCATTGCAGATATATTAGACAGCATATCAATCCAACGAGAAAGCGGAGAGCCAATATCAGTAAATCAAAGTGTGCCTTTCTGTTAATACTCTCTCATATGTTCTCATTTTATACACCCCTTCACCCAGTCAGAAAGTAGCCCTGAAGTATTTAGGCTCCATTCAGGGATAGCACTACCATGCATCAAAGTGTCAAGAGACCTACCAGAGATGAAATCTGCAATTCTGGGCTTCTAACCACCAAAAGCAAATGTCACCAGTGCCCCCAACACATGGACGACTTCCTATAAAGAGATTTAGAAGACAGAACCTAATTCTCATTTCTTTGTAACGTTAGGGCCCCATTTCCTTCTAGGCGGTATGTAAAATCTAAGAGATAATGGGGCAATCCTTTGCTGAAGGTAGTAGGCCTCCTCAAAGCCAGAGCTGACAAGAATGAGGAAAGACTCTCTCTCCCTGGAGGCTCAAATTCAACAGAGAATTATTCCCAGCCAAAACAAGCAAACAAACAAACCATAACCCTCTTTATTATTCATATAGGATGGAATTCTATTTGTTCAGCCCTATATAGGAATAATAAATAGAAGGAATCAACAGTTTCTAATTCACCTCTAATTTTTCTCCCAATTACTGTTTAGAGTCAAAAGTTAACAAATGCAGCAAAGATGCATATACTTTCTTCTCTCTCCCTCTTGGCACGGTGGCCACAAAACAAATGGAGACTATCAAGGATATATATGTTTATTCTGCCCTACATGGTCCATTTCCAGAAGCCTTTCCCTTAAGAGGAGATTAAGAAGGACATATGCCTCACCACATTACCGAGACTCAACCTAAGCATCTGGTCACTAGCTTTAGGAATAATTCTGAGCAGAGAATAAATGGAAAGAGTACTTTACTGAGTGTTAGGAGCCCTTTATTTAAGTGACACTATCACTAACTAGTCATGTTACACTGAGTAGACCAATTTAATCTGAGTCTCAATTTTCTCATTTATAAAACGTATATAATCCTTTGTTCATCTCACAGAAATAAGGTAAAAATAATAACCATGTTATTACATATTAAGGTATTTTGGAAATTAAAAATGTAAAAATAGAAGGCATATTACTATCAAAAAATCATCCTCTTTTACCAGCCTAAGCAACATAGTAAGACTCAGTCTCTACAAAAAATAGAAAAATTAGCCGGGCATGGTGGCACACGCTTGTAGTCCCAGCTACTCGGGAGGCTGAGGCAAGGGGATCACTTAAGCCCAAGAGTCTGAGCTTGCAGCAAGCTATGATGACGCCACTGAACTCTACCCAGGCAATAGAGTAAGATGCTATCTCAAAAAAAAAAAAAAAAATTCTCTTTTACATGATGAAAATCTTTTATATTCTGCTTATACCGATCTCCAGTGCTAGGATTGGACCGTATTCACAGATTCCTATATTGGT